AAAAAGGAATAGACAACGTAAATCTTAGTTATAAGTGGCATTTGGAGACTGAACCGTTTTTATGATGCCAAAGCGCATCGTTTCCATTTTACACGCGATTACTAAATTGATTCATTGATTTATTTCTTGATGCACCGTACATCGTGCTACCGATATGTTTGGCTTTTGAATAACGTTGCTTTTCATTAAAAATCAAGTCTTCGGTTATCCAAATGGAAATGCAGCAGTGAGTATGCACCCAGAACAAAAGCAGGAATAAAAGGCTGGTGCCAGAACGAAGTATCGACGAGAGTGTAAGAGGTGAACACAAGAGTGAAAATGAGCCAGAGAGAAATTGAATACCAGTAAATACTGTTCGCCAAAGTAAAACAGAATGAAGGGACAAGATTGAACATGAGCGATACAAAACCACGACGCAATAAATACCATTTACTTTGAGTGTATATCGCGTAAACGGCACAAACTATTCCCAAAAAGGTCATCGATACCGAAAGTTTCAGTGTATGTATGTGTGTGTGCGTGGATTATGTATCAAAGGCATTTGATAGATACTGACTTTTGAACGCTGTTACATTCGATTGGATTATTAAATTTGATATCCGAAAAATCCATTCGCATCTCTCACACTCATCTCCGTCTGTGTCTGCAGCAGCGACGACGACAGCAGCAAGGATTTTCTATTTAAAGAGATGTTCATTGTATTTGTAGTACTTTTCCACAAACAAATGACCAGTCGATTCGATCGGCCATGGTGGTGTATAAGTGACGCAAGACTTTGGTCAACACAATAAATTTTACGAAGACCATTTGAATACCGAACCGGTGTGTATATTTTGTTTGTGCAACCATTATTGATATTTATTGTGTGCGTTAGCATCGCCTTTGTACATATTGAACCTGAATAAAAGAGCGTGTTGCACACGAATAAAATTCAAGAAATTCGAATAAATTACACCTTCATCAGTCTGTACGGGCAAACGAGCCAGTGGCAACGACAACGGCATTTGCCAAAGTGCACTTTAGATAAATCGCACTTTAATAGACACTTCTTGTGGGCTGCATCCGATCGATCAACCAAAATAGATTCTCTTTTGTAAATTGATTAATGTGCGTCTCAGACGCAACAACATTTTACGCTTCTATATTCAGTAAACGCATGTTCGGCGCTGTGTTGCTGTCGTCGATGCCCAAATGCGGCCAGATTAATCATGATTTTTGGCAAAATGCTGATTTATCGCAATACATACACAACTAACACATTGAATTAATGAATGAAATATTTTGTAGATTCGTCGAAATAACAATCGTCGATAGATATTTTGGTTTTTAATGAGTCTGAGAGCACGGTTAAATGATTAGATTTCTTGGCATTTGTTTTGCGGCTGTTTTGATTATATCAAATTTAATAAGACAACTTTTGTGCGGTTCGTGTTCGATTCCATTTCGTAAAATTCGTCATGTGTGGTGTTTTGAGTGTTTTACAAGTGTGCCGCTGTTGTTGCCGTGTATCGTCTGTCGCGTTCGTGTGGTTAATTAATGTAGCTAATAAAATGGATTGCATACGGCTGTGTGCATTTTCCTCGCCTAATCAACAACGGAAAAATTAAGCACTGTTTTGTGAGTCTCTTTCCCCCCCTCCCTTTCTTTCACGTACAACCATTTTTTTATTTCATTCTCTTGCTTGTCGCCTGACCGCACCAAAACATGAATTTCATATTAAATCCAAGCAATTACGCTCAAACAAATCACAACTCTTATAAACAAAACATATGTTTTTATTTATTTGCTCTCTTTAGCCGTCGGCGTTGTTGTCGCCGTCGCTGAAAGAATACAGAGACACCGAGAAAATGATCAAATGAAAATTAAATAGAATTCGGCCAACGGAATTTGATTATTATTATTTTTTTGACAGATTGCCAATCAGCACATTTTGTTCACACACCATGCAAAAACAAGACAAAACATTTTTTGGCATGGCAGCCAATGAGTTGAAGCGAATTGAAAAAAAAGAAGAAAAAATAGAGATAAAAAAACAGTAGCGATAGAAAGACACGCTATTCTGGCTCGGTATTTAAATTAATGTTTATTTTACTCTGTTTCACACCTACATATTATCAGCCAGTTTAGTGCCGTTTTGTATTGTTGTTGATTTCATTTTGGGACGCCTAACATTTAAAGTTGCATGCTTTTTCGCGTGTCACTTAATGCCTATGCAAAACTAATAAGGTCGAATTAAATGTTTGTTTTTGTTCTTTTGCTTCCATTTCCCCTCAACAACAATGATAATAGCCTTTTCAAGCGAAATCACAACAATTGACCTTTTTTGGGTCACATTTCGTCATTCGCAGACGGTAAAAAGACATGTATTCAAGTTCATTGATTGAAAGTTGTATCATTTTGGTTTTAATTTTATGCAACATCTTAACTTATTTCCGTTGACGTGATCTGAAAATGTGTAAACAGTATTTTCATTCACTTCCTATGTACACACGACATTACTTTCATCAAATGTCAAATACACATCCGAACCTAGATGCGAACATACGATTTTATTTCTATCGCTCTCTCTCTCCTCAGCATATAAATTTTTTATTGTAAAACTTTCAATATAAAGCCAAAACGTGTCGGTTGAATTTCTAAAATTTATTGATTTATTGCGAGCGACAAAATACACAGCAACATGTGTTTTCCGTCGTATATCCTTTGTGCTTCCTTGACTCCTTTGTTCACTAATTGATGAGTTGTATGGCTTTTAATAGCTCGAATTACAATAAATGTCATGTTTAAGCAAAACACAAAAACACTCTCAACTCACAGTATCTCCTTACCCCACTCTCTTCTCTTGTATCTTGATGCCAAATCTTTGAGCGAATTTCGATTCAAAATTATTTTCAGATAAACACAAGTCAAATCTGCGTGTCTCCAAAAATCAACACAAAAACTGAAAATTTCAAGAAAATAGGAATGATAGAGAAAGAGAGAAAATCGAGGATTGACAAAAAAAGAGATAAACACAAGAGCATAAAAAAAGTATCCTTCATCAAATTGGCATGCAATATGCGTAGGTAATTTTCGAAGCAAACATGTGATTCATAGTCATAATTCGAAACATAAGAGAGTTGCTATTAAACGGCTCACTTGTGATTCAAGAGTTGTTTTGACCGTACTTAATGTCCAATGCATACATATATGTTCTGTGTGTGTATGTGCTGTGAGCTCAATCTAAATTTATGTTTTTCGTTCACAAACGATCGAGCCAAATCGGAATGCCACACTATTAACTATTCATTTGCCTCTGCGTACATTTCCCATACACTCGAGCAATAAAAGCAGAAGCAGCAGCAGGCGACGGCAACAGCATCATTTGGAAGAGCATCGAATACAAAAAATTGATTCGGATTCCCGAACAACAAATCGTTATACACATTGTACGTGTGCCAAATATGTGATTGCAATCGTTTGCCGTTTTTTGTCTCTTGCAAGCTGTTTTCATCGATTCGAAACGAATTCCGAAACGGTCGTTCATTTCAATAAAAGATATTTGATGATTGGAATTATTTTGAAGCGGCGAAAAGTTGAAATTTTATTTTAATTGCTTGCTAATTTGTCGAAAATATTGTGATATGCAACCACATAAGCAGACTTGTACAATCCATAAGTAGATTAATGGCTTCATAAAATAATATTAGAATATAATATGAACACGCAACGGATAAATAAATGTCTTCGTTTTAGCCGATTTTTGGATGTATATTTTCCTTTCGTTATTCAACGCATCTATGTGGCTGTGTTGTTGTTGTTACACTCGCTCACTCTCGTTTGTTGAAGTTAAGCGGCTTGAATACATGTCATCTTTTGTCTTCAGTTAATCCGAGTTGGCTTTTTTTTATATATAAATTCATTTCCTGTTGTGAGACGGTATACATGCCTCTGTGTATATTGCACGTGTAATAAATTTTATAATTGACAATAGAAATTGGTTGCTTTATGTTTTTATTGCAATCTCATAATGTGCGCCGTGCAACACAGTCACGTGAACACCACTCACTCTCTTGCAAAAAGAGAAAAATTAATTCCGTGCTGCGACTGCTTTAATAATGTGAAAGAGAGAGAGAGAGCTTTTATATTTTGTAATCCATCGTTTTGTTATTTTGGTTGGGCGTGCGCTTGTATCACGTGCTAAAAACAGAGGCAAAGCTACTGCCTCTGCGATTCTATTTAATATTATTATTTATGAACGTTTTGCTGCTCGACATTATTAATAAACATGCTCCAAAATTAGACGACGACGGCGGCAGCGGCGGCAGTGGCAGTGGCGTTAGCAACAAATACAGCGACGATCCAACGTAGAGACGAGCAAAGATCAGAACAATAGCAGAGAGGCACTACTCAATCGGAATTCTTTATGAAGAAGTCAAAAACTTTTCTCTCGGAACAGTATATATACAATAAATACGATAATGACTCAATAATAACAATTGAACGAGAGAATACTGTGGTGTTTGTTGTGTTGGATGAGCTTCATAAAAGACATAAAACGTTATCTTAAGCAAATAGACAAATCATTTGTGGCAAAACTTTGTGTTTGGCTGCGACGAGCGAAATATTCATTCGAAAGATTGATGAAGAGTGGAGAGATGGAATGATTGAGCTTATCGCTGTATTGCGAGTGTTTTCACTGCATCTTTTACAAAGGGGAAAAATAGGTATATTTATTTTTATCTTGTTAAAAATAGCCTCTATTTTCATGTCACATTTTTGAAATATAGTACAAGACGGACCAGCGAGATGTGCGCCACATTTTGACATTGCAAATAATGGATTTGTCTTGTTGACGACTTTCAAATTCCCGAACATCCGATCCGATATGACATGCTCTCTTTTTTTATTTCTTCTTTCCGTGTGACCACTAAAGTGTGAAAAAATGAAGTGTCCTGCATCTACTTTGAATGACATGGTAGTGATGGGAAAAGGAAATTGAAATTCACAATAATACTCACAATGAACAGTGCTTCTTTCAACTTTGGATGAATGTGCTTTTTTCTCTCTCTGGTGACTGCTCGCCTTGAATTGAGGACCTAAAAAATGAAAGATAACAAAAAAATTACATAAAAAATAATTTTCGTCGAAAAATAAAATTATTCTCATGGGTTATTTTAAGTCAAAAAATAGTAGTAAAAAAGAGCGTGCAGCAAGCGAAACACTATGATCGTAAGAAAATTTGTTGGGTGACCTTTTTATGGTTGGTAAAACCCGATGTGATTGCTATACGAAGAATAACGAACTATTTATTTCAACATGATGAAGAAAACTTTGATGATTTATTTCAAATGAAATACAATTTGGTCGCGCTACTGCTTGTTTCTTCTTTCTTCTTCTTCTTCTTTAGTTTTTCTCTACTTTTCCAAAGTTATCTATCAACATTTGAGTCCAAGAAGCTGTCGCTGATTTTGATAGTGAAAGACGGACATTCTACTAGCACGTAAATATTACGTGCTTGAAAAACTCGACTCAACTCCGGGAAAAATCTCGCTGCGAAAGACAAAACATGCGAAAAACTAAGAAATAAAATGGCACAGCGCAGGAAAAAAAATTATGCTGAGTTCGTCTTGTGTGTGTGTATTTTTTTTTAAATGTAATGAGAGCGTGTGCGTGCGCGAGTGTGCGTTCGCGTTCGGCATCACATACTTGATATTTTTCTTGTCTTTTTTTTCCTGTACAAAAGCTTTTGTGTCTTTCTTGCTCTCATCAATGTCGCTGCCATTGTTCAGCGACACAAACTTTGTTATCGGGTTTTCAACCCTTTAATAGTTCGTATTAATGTGCAAAATGGCAGAAATGAAGAATTTTTTTTTCATACCTCGAAGTTCGAACTATTGGAAGAAAAAAAAAGTGAGTGGTGTAACGTGATCTCATCACACATTTACCACCTTTGTTCGAGAATGATGCCGAGGGTTTGATGTAGCGTAAATATCGTATTAATATGCTCTCGCTTATGTCATTTGATTTTATTCGCTTTCAGTTCATTGACAATTGAGTCGTCGAATAATTTTATTTATAAATGCATTGCAATTTCGAGGATCACCAGTATATTGTTCGACATGCGACTGGCAACGGTCGATGTAAACTGAATCTAAGCGGTAAATGTGAAAGGGCGCGAGGACCAAGTCAAAGTGTGAAGCTAAAGAATGAGTTGCGAAGAAGAAATGAGCCAGAAAGAGAGCGTGTAAAATTGAAGATTGGGAGGAGAGTGGGGAGATGAGAAAAAGAAGAGAAAGTATGGTTAGTTTAGAATACAAGCTTTCTCCATTACTTGAACCGATAGCAATGCACTGTAAATCGTTTTTTATTCAATTCTTTCGTTGTCGTCATTTTTTTTCTTTCTCTCTCCTCTCGCTGACTTTAGTCTCTTCACAATTTTTATTCAGTTGATTATGCTTGTCATATGTACAATATGAGATCGTGCAAGATTTTGTGTGTACATCTCGTGTTCTCTCGTTTTCATAATTTGGTCCGCAAATAAATTTTGTCTGTGTGCGCTTCAACTGCTGTAATCGTAGTGTGAATTCTTTTCTTCGTTGTGATATTATATGCTATATGAAATTCTATTACCACCAATGTGTTCACTTGATATAACTTGATACAATGGATATTAGTGCTCGTTTTTACTATCTTTCTTTGTTTGTTATTTATTTGAATATTGCATTTTGACATGATGGCAAGAGAAATGAAGAGAACGAGAGAAAGAGCGATGCGCGTTTCGACGACGACAATGCCACCATTCCGAAAAATAAGAACGAATGAACTCAAGCATAATGGTCGACCATTGACAAGTGCAAAAAAGTGTACAACACGCCAATGCAAATCGAAAGGAAAAAAAAATACTAAACAAATTCGACATGGTGTGTAAGCGACCGCTGATGAGAGAATCACACACCCAATTGAAGCAGCAACAACAGCAGATGAAAAAAATACAACATTGCGATGATATCTCTGTCTTCAGTCATTCCCTTTTTTACTATCCAAACTGAAATTTACAAACTTATCAACAAAATAAATATTAAATCTGGCGCAACACACTTGCACGCATTTCCACATCAAAGCTGCCCAAACATAGTAGCTAGGGAAAAAATGTGGACAACCAAATCACTGACGAGAGATAAATTTAATAGAATAACAACGACGACGATGAAGAATGCAAGAGATGGGGAGAACAAAATGAAAAACTCCTGGCGTACATAAAATAAAGATTAAAACCGATTTCCATTTGACTAGGAGCCATGGAGGAAACTGATACATTGGTTGCATTTGGAAAAAGTGTACAGCCAGACCAAATGGCTTGCAGGCCACCACAGATTGGTAAGACCTTGGACTTGTACCGATATGAAAACAACAAAATAAGCTCGATTGTATAAATATCTGAATAGCTTTGAGTTTCAGCTATGTACATATTCGGTTCACCTTCATTGGTGCACGTATCAACCGAAACAAACGTCTCGTTTGTGCTGATGAAGCAGACGTTCGTTGTGCCAACCAAGTACCCACTCTATCCCGCGCATTCACCCATGCTTGTGCTGCAACGAATGACGACCCCCAGCACAACAGCCATCAAAACGGAAAAAATTATTATATTAAAAAGAGCGAGATATGTTCAACAACACGACGACGACTGCAAAGAAAACATTAAATTTTGAAATGAACAATGCAATACGTTTTGTGCTTGCAACAATCGAATTCACTTTGTACACACATGCATCATTTTCTAACAGAAGCGGGTACAATAGATTACTATTGCGAGTACGTTTGTTGCTAACACCGTCACCATCGACCAATCTATATGTGCACTATGCATGCAAACAACCAACGAATGAAAATATCCATCAGGTATAATAAATAATTAAACGGTTAGTGATCTGTTGCATTTGAAACGGATGTGGGTTCGTATTTCGTGCGTGACGTATTTACTGTGTCTAGAGATGATTCTCAGCGAATGGTGTGGATTTTAACATCCAAAATAACATCAGCCAACTATACACACGCACCATCTACGATTTTGCCACTACCCAGGTCCCAGAGAGAGAGAAAGAAAGAGTGAGAGTGAGCAAATACAGAATATAACCACCGCCCATTCCCCCGTCAAAACAAAGAATAAAAAGAAAAAAGAAAACAAAACGATATTCAACAACCAGCCAAACGAATTACCATTCGCTTTTATTCTACAAAGTACTTAACGAAGCGTTAACAAGTTGTTGCTTTAATACTGTTAGCTTGGATTTGTTTTTCGCTTATTTCCCTCAACTCACTCTATCTCTTCACTCATTCTTTCTGTCTTGTCTCTTTGGCGAAAACATTATTAATAATAATATAGAAGGTAAAGAAGTGCAGTACAAGTTTTTTTTCTTTCTTTCTCTCATTCAGTTCGTCTCGCCACGTTTTTGGTTGAATCTTCATCGTGTGTTCCACAGAAGTTCCTCTGCAAATCGTTCACATTTCAGTCGAGAAAATTGTTTATTTGAATTTAATTGAATCAATTATGAAAGTTTTAGGTTTTACGTCCATGAAAATGGTAACAAGAATGGAATTCACCTTCGTTGTGTTTCAGCCACCGGCATATGCCCTTGCATATTAAGACACAATAACGAACAAAACAATGGATAAAACCTCTCATGATAATCATGTTTATTAAACGTATTTTTCAATCGAAATACGAAGTATTGCGTTGGCTTTTCATGTGCTTACAATACAATTCGATTGTCGGTGCACATACTTAAAACGATTATTGAACTGGTTTGATGAGAGTAGTGAATCGGAATGAAATCGAGCTAATGCAGAGTGGGAGAACGAGAGAAGAAAAAAACATGTACGGAAATTTCATCACGTCAATGACTTTGACATTCATCGAAAATGTTCTCACTTTCAAATTGCATGCAGAACACGAAATGCCAGGTCATACAGTGACTTTGATAGTTCGCGCGCTAATATTATCATTTGTCGTCATCACATCACATCGATAAGAGAATAGCGAATGGCACGATATGGCAAACGGAGTGCAATGCAATGGAAAAATGTCAACTGTGTTATGAGCGTTTTCACATTAAATGCATCTCGTCATCGAGAATGACGAGAAACATTTTTTTTTTCGTTGGTCGAGTGAAAAAAAAACTCACGATGTGAAAGAACTAATTTCTATTGATCGAATGAAACCTCACTCCGCGGCAAATAAACGAATTGTAGCATTTTGCAAACGTTTGCCTTTTTTGCTCTCTTTTGGCAACGATTGCCATTCAGTATTGTTAGTGAAAAAAGGACGACGTACGCTGGTGATGGTGAAACCAGCATGAGAAAATCGTAAAACATGATAAATGCGAAATGAGATTGATATGAAAGTAACGCTGGCATGCTCATTCATAATAAAATGGCAACTCAACTGAATAAACGAATGTACGTCGGAATGTGTATTGCACTTTGCGATTTATTTGTGTTTGTTTTTTTAAATAAATTGTAAATTTGCGTTTCAATGGTTTATGAGACGGAATATAGACTCCAAGACAAAAAATGTCATGTTTTCAAAAAAAAAAACCCCCAAGACTTAAGGAGCAAATCAAATAAATAGGATTAATGGCTTCGGCTTAAAAAATACAAAGGTTTTATGGGGTAATACTTTATTCGCTCACACAAAAAAATATAAACGACAATTCAATATCATGCTGATGTTCCGTTCAAAATATTTGCACAAAAAAACATCGAACTTGGTATGTGTAACACGTGAAATCGTCCAAGTGTTGAGTTTTTGTGCGGTGATGTGTTGTGACGCCGCCGAGCACAAATCAATAAATTGCTCATATTTTCTTTGATTTTATGCGGTTTCTTGTCATTCACCGATTCGGTTTTTTTTCGTTTGTTTTCATTTTCAATCGTTGATTATTTTTTTGCAATGTGGCGTGTGCAAGCTAAATCGAAATTGTGGCTATTGCGATGAATCCCTTGTTTCAAATCTATTTATGATTATTGTTATGTTCATTGTGAATGTGATACGTGTGCGAATGACATTCGGCGAGTGTGTCGTTGTCTCTATTGT